AGTTGGCGTGTGTTGTAGCTGGGTCTGTGAGTACAGAGAAGGGTTGACTGGTATTCTTAACTGCCAGGAAGTGCCGGGGAAATCAGGGAGCACCCAGCCAGCTGGAACAGTCGCTCGAGTCCTGCCCACTGGTCATGAACATTCATTCCTGTGGTCTCTGTATTGGAGCCTCCCAACCTGTCTTTCAAAGCCCCTCATAATCCCAATTCATCTCTCCCATTGAACCCTCCAACTCCCCCTACGTCAAAACCTGTCTCTTGTCACGGCCTCTCCTACACCCCTTGCTTATCTTCATGATTTTTGTCATTGCATATAACCCCTACTTCCAACATTCAACCAAGGGTGGGTGTTGATGGTATTATACAAAGATGGCCTGCTGTGTACCTGTTCTCAATGAATTTCACATACTCAGGTGTAGAGAGAAAACTTATGAGATCTATGCACATGAAGTTGCTAAAAATAAAATGGCTTAGGAATAGGAGAAATCCTAGGAGAATGGAAAGTCCCACTGGATTAAGTAGGAGGCAAGAAACCTGAGTTTGGGGTCCACTTCAGCTACTAACTTACTAGGTGTATCTATCAATTGCTGCAAAACTTAAGAGTTTATAACCTATTTTATGGTATCTCATGACATCGTGGGTCCGGAATTTGGACAGATTTCAGCAGGTGATTCTTCTCCTCCAGCTGATCTTGACTGAGCAGGTGGATGAGCTGGCATCACCAGCTGTGCCCACCTCTGCCCAAGGTGGTCTCACATGCCTGGCATCTTGGCCCATATTTTGTTCCCTAGGGTTGCTGTAGCAAAATAAATAAAATAAAATAAAATAAAATCACAGCTCAGGTTGCTCAAACAACAGCCATGTGTTCTCTTCAGTCTTGGAAGCCAGAAGTTTGAAATCAAGATCTTGGAGGGCTGGGGTCCCTTCAAAGCCACCAGGGAAGACTACCAGCAGTCCTTGGCATCCTAGGCGTGTGGACTCACCACTCCCGCCTCTGCCTCCATGTTCACATGGCTAACCATCTCCCTTCTCTCTACGGTCTCTGTGTTCAGATTTTCCTCTTCTTAAAAAGATACCTGGCATACTAAATTTAGAACCCGCTGAATCTAGTACGGCTCCATCTTAACTTGATTACATCTACAATGACCTTATTTCTAAAAAATATCTCACTTGAGCGGACATGAATCTATTTTGGGAGGGGACGCTCTTCAGCTCTCTATGGGACTGTCGGATTGGCTGGAAGCCTGGGCCGAGAACCTTCTTGTGATGTCTCCTGGAGGATCTTAGATAGCTGTACGCTCTGGGCTCTCAGAAGGTGTCCCAAGAGATCCACCTGGAAGCTACAGGCTTCTTATGGAGTGGCCTTAGAAGCCACAAAGTGTCATTTTTGCCACTTTCCATTGATCAAACAAATCCCAATCAGCTGGATTCACGGACAGGGTTTAGACCCCACTTATTGATGCAAGAAGTATCCAAGAATTTGCAGCCATTTTCCGCCCATCACACTGTGCGTG